CACACACACACACACACACACACACACACACACACAGAGAGAGAGAGAGAGAGAGAGAGGTGTGTGTGTGTTGTGTGTGTGTGTGTGTGTGTGTGTGTGTGTGTGTGTTGGTTTTTGTGATTTACGAGGACATTTTATATGAATACATGCAACACTACGAGGACATTTTGTATTATGAGGACAGGGCCAATGTCCTCATAATTCAGACAATGTAGAAGTGCTTCTATAGGTAGAGGGAGCTCTAATTCGAATTTTCTCCAAAAGCCCTTATAGTTCACAATTACCGGACTTTGTGTTAAGCGTGTGTATCGCGACTGCGCACCTGTAGGTGGGTCTCGGTAATGCACGTCCTCATTAATATTCATACGTGTGTATGGAATCTCAGGTTTTGATTGGCTGAGAGGCCAGATGTCCTCATAATTTCGGGCTTTGTCAAACCACTGTGTTATAGCGTATCCACACCAAGGACGATAACCATAAAACTATATGTGTAAAAGCGTTCTAAATATAAAGGAATAACAAAGTCCACACCACAACTATAAAAATCAAAGTATAGAGAAACAATATCGTTGGACTCACTTTCAGAACAATTAAACTTATGTGCCAGATGAATGATCTATTTTACCATTCTGTGCAAACTTTTAAAATTAAAATGAACATTGCATGAAAAAATACTAATGACAATAACAAGAAACTAAAATAAATAAATAAATAAAATAAAAATGACTTATAACAGCATGCTTTTGATGAGCTCCCCTCCCCCTCCCCCCGACCGAGTCACTTCCTGCTGAGATGAGCACCTGTGAGCATCATGATGAAGACTGATGATAAAACTCAAAGAAGTCGAGAAACTGTTTTAGCCAAGTTTTTATTTTATATTACATTAGTTATAAAGTTAGCCTCTGCAGTTAATCAGGCTAGCTTTTATCTAGCGTTTCCTCACAAATCATAAGGAATTAACAATTTATAATTGAAGATGGTTTTTTTTGTCAATATTTAACAGCAATAATTCATGCTTTACCTACTAGTCAAACAAATACAGATAGCAATAACTAAACAGCTTGTATTATGTATGTTTTGGGATGTGGTAATGAGGTTAGTGTATGAAAGGCCACATGGAAAAATACTGTAGTATACTTTAGTAAATACTGTAGTAAATTGTAGTTTACTGTAGTATATTGTAATCATTACTACACTTTGTTAATGCATACTACAGTATTCTATAGTATTCGTGAAATGATAAACCATATTGGCAAACCATTTTACTATGGGAAGGTTCAAAAACACTATTGTATCTAGGAATATTACTACAGTTTACTATAGTAAACACAAAAGTATACTACAGTATTTTTCATATGGGAGTGGTGAACTTGATGTTTTTCAGGGCGCACAGTTTTTGCTGTTCAGTTGTAAACTAGTTATCTTGTGTGCCTGTGGCTGAGCACATCGTAAAATCAGGTGCCTTTAATTGCTAACAGTTCTTTGTGAAGGTCATTCCTGCAGAACTGTAATAGTACCGTAATGGTAATCAGTGTTGACCCTTTTTCCTGACTGATGTGCTCTTTGTTAGGTCGAGGAGTGTTCAGCTGTCGCCACTTCCAAAAGGGAGATTTTCTCATTGAATATCGAGGGGAAGTCATAACTAAACAAGAATATGAAAGAAGGCACAGAGTATACCACACTGCGGTTAAAGTTTTTTTGTTTGAATTTCGTTTTAATGGAAAACAGTTGTGGTATGTATATTGCTGTACTTAATTTACAATCTCTTTCAAATTTACAAAGTTGTAGGTCACCCAGAGATACACATTTTTATTTTCTGATGCAGTAGTGGTAACGTAGGATGAGTCCATCCAGAAACATTTTTACATTTTTCAGTGAGACTTTCCTATTGTGTGATTCAGTCAATATTACACCTTGGAGTTAGCATTGTGTTCTTGCTCTTTCAGGGTTGATGCTGCCAGAGAAGACGACTCTTTAGGGAGACTCGTCAATGATGATCATGTGAACCCCAACAGCAAAATGAAAACAATCAGAGTGGACGGAAAGCCCCATCTGTGCTTATTTGCAATAAAGGACATAAGTCCTGGGGAAGAGATTACGTATAACTATGGGGATTCTGACTGGCCATGGAGAAGCAAGGTATTTACAGATGGAACTAAATTTTTACATCTGATTTGTGATTTGGCTCTAAATAATTTCTGAGCAATATTAAGCATGTTGCAGAAAGTGCATATTGTACCTCAAAAGTTATAACCTTTTTATACTCATTTGAACACAGTTTACTGTTCAAATAGTTTTTCAATCATGTGGAGAAGTTAGCGGAGACGTGTTAGTACTTCATTTTGACCTGCTGAGATGAGCACCTGTGAGCATCATGATGAAGACTGATGATAAAACTCAAAGAAGTCGAGAAACTGTTTTAGCCAAGTTTTTATTTTATATTACATTAGTTATAAAGTTAGCCTCTGCAGTTAATCAGGCTAGCTTTGGTCACATTTGTCAGCTTTTATCTAGAGTTTCCTCACAAATCATAAGGAATTAACAATTTATAATTGAAGATGTCATTATTTAACAGCAATAATTCATGCTTTACCTACTAGTCAGACAAATACAGATAGCAATAACTAAACAGCTTGTATTATGTATGTTTTGGGATGTGGTAATGAGGTTAGTGTATGAAAGGCCACATGGAAAAATACTGTAGTATACTTTAGTATTTGATGTAGTAAATTGTAGTTTACTGTAGTATATTGTAATCATTACTACACTTTGTTAATGCATACTACAGTATTCTATAGTATTCGTGAAATGATAAACCATATTGGCAAACCATTTTACTATGGGAAGGTTCAAAAACACTATTGTATCTAGGAATATTACTACAGTTTACTATAGTAAACACAAAAGTATACTACAGTATTTTTCATATGGGAGTGGTGAACTTGATGTTTTTCAGGGCGCACAGTTTTTGCTGTTCAGTTGTAAACTAGTTATCTTGTGTGCCTGTGGCTGAGCACATCGTAAAATCAGGTGCCTTTAATTGCTAACAGTTCTTTGTGAAGGTCATTCCTGCAGAACTGTAATAGTACCGTAATGGTAATCAGTGTTGACCCTTTTTCCTGACTGATGTGCTCTTTGTTAGGTCGAGGAGTGTTCAGCTGTCGCCACTTCCAAAAGGGAGATTGTCTCATTGAATATCGAGGGGAAGTCATAACTAAACAAGAATATGAAAGAAGGCACAGAGTATACCACACTGCGGTTAAAGTTTTTTTGTTTGAATTTCGTTTTAATGGAAAACAGTTGTGGTATGTATATTGCTGTACTTAATTTACAATCTCTTTCAAATGTACAAAGTTGTAGGTCACCCAGAGATACACATTTTTATTTTCTGATGCAGTAGTGGTAAAATAGGATGAGTCCATCCAGAAATTTTTTTTAATTTTTCAATGTTTGTCCTGTTTTCTGAAATAGAAGATCTTGTGTTTAAAGGGCACTTATTATACCTCTTGTTACAGTATGTAATATAAGTCTCCGGAGTCTCCAGGCTGAGGAAAACTGTAGGTAAAGTTAGTTACCTAACCCTAACCCTAACCTAACCTACCTAAGATTACTGATTCTATGAGCTGTGCCTGTCGCTCTTATCTGTTTTCTTTCTTATTGCACAACTTATAATTGCATACAAGATCAGGGAAAGATGGTTATATTTATGCATGTGTATTTTATTCACATCTCATTTTTATTATCTGTGTGTTGTTGTTGTCTCCGTGTACTGGAAGCTTGTGACACTATAACAAATTCCTTGTATGTGCAAACATACTTGGCAATAAAGCTCTTTCTGATTCTGATTCTGATTCATAATGACAAAAAATATCATAGTATGAGATTATATACACAGAAAAAAGCACAATGACAAGGGAAATATCTTCGATGAAACAAGAGTTAATTAAAGTCAACGAGAAAAAGAGGAAAACAAAGGAGATTTAATAAAGCCTTGCATTTGGATCCTCATCTAGGTTACAATCGCTCATACGGTTTTATGTTTCATGCATTTATTTAAGAAAGAATCTCTCTTCATCTGACAATATACTGGATATCTGTACATTAACAACAGACACACACATAACTAACTTAATATAAAATAACAGAGTAACAGTGAGTATAAAATGAGAGCGATCATGTAAATGTTTTAAGTGACATGGATATTTCACATTGTAGATTTGCTTTACATCTTTTGATACGTTTAAGTGCTGCACTTGACAATCACGTTTATGATTAGAATCACATGAATCATTATGGATGAGTTTAATACAAATATTATTATGTTTGTAGGTGTTAAACTGAAGAGCCAGACAGACTCATCCGAGCTTCTTCTTCTGTTTCACCTTTAAATAAAACAACACGAATCATTCAGTATGACATGTTTTGATTGTAAAGTCTGAGTCTCTTCCAGCTGTATGTATTTCTGCTCACAGACACAGAGTTGAAGCTCTCAGCTGATGTTCACTGCTCCTCTCATCATCATCTCTAACTATGATATACAGCATCCATCATCCTGTGACGGCTGAACTCTATCAGGGACTCTGTAAGGTGGAACAGAAGAGAAAACAATCAGTGTTCAGTGGAACAAATTACAAATTAATTACTATTTCAATTACAGTTACATTTACATGATCTTGCATATATATTTCTGAAACAATATGGACTCTGTAAGGTGGAACAGAAGAGAAAACAATCAGTGTTCAGTGGAACAAATTACAAATTATTTACTATTTCAATTACAGATTTTTTTAGTAAAGAGAAGTTACATTTACATGATCTTGCATATATATTTCTAAAACAATATTTGTTTTTTAAACACATTTACAACAGATATTGTTATATATAATCTATGTGTTTGTCTGTTTGTGTGGCTCCTATTGAGTCACTATAAAGAGAAACATGCTAATGATTGTACATCAAATATAATAAACGACAAGGAACAAACACAAATGTGATTTTGCCTAAGATCAAAACTTTTAGTTAAATGTTTGAGTAGTTAAAGCTGTTTGTCCTCTAGTTTAAACATGTTTGTATTGGTCTTAGTAAAGAACTGAAAGTAAAGTAAGTGTAAAGTAATGAGACGTGTTGCTGGTGAAAGTAAAAACACAGAAGAGCCGGAGACATTGATCATGTGATGCTGGAGTCTGCACTGATTTTACCAGCGTTTTCCTACAGTCTGACCAAACCTGTTTTCACACTGACATGATTCACTATTACTGAAGTAATTAATAAAGCAGATATTGCTGTATAAAGCAGTGACAGTGTGCTTCTGTTCTCTTTCCTCCTTTGTGTTCAACATTTACTCAACTTTACATTTCATTCTGACACAATGAACCCTCAGGTGCAGTAAAGCTGGATGATAATCTGATGATCTCGTTCACTAATATTTGACCGTATATATTTATCAGCAGTAACTGAAGATCTCTTTAATATCACAGTGATGTTTGCTCACCTCAGTTCACAGTTTGAGTCTCGTAGCACATAAATGAGCTGCTGCTTCGAGTCTCCAATCATATTATCACTCAGATTAAGTTCTTTTAGAAACCGCAGCGCTTTTGTGTTTCTCAAAGACTGAGTTAAAGAATAAACGTCTGTAATACCACAGCGATTTAGACTGGAAAGAGATAAACAGAGGAAGAGAGATCCTCTCACAAACCATCATTAATGTGAAGAATCTGACACAAATATAATGTGAACTCATCATGAGATACTGAGTATAAAGTGTTTTGTAGTGATTTTACTGATTGTGATTCTTGTGTGTGAATGTTGCTGACCTCAATCTCTCCAGTTTACAGCGTGAATCCTTCAGTATGTCACACAAGTGATTCACTCCTGTGTTTGTTATGTGATTCTCACTCAGATCCAGTTCTCTCAGGTGTGATGGGTTTGAGTTCAGAGCTGAAGTCAGGACGAGACTCTGTTTCTCTGTAATACTGCATAAACACAGACTGAAGACAGACAGAGAAAACACAATCAATCAGATCTAAGTTCATAACTGAGTTAAACACATCATGAGTAAATGCCATACAGTCACTGATACACAAGCAAAATAATGTAAACAGATAATATATGAACAAATAAACCAAGAGAGGAGCATTTGAGGATACTAGTTACAATTCCACATCTGGATCCGTCCTCATTTAACAAATAAATGAATTAACCAATGTAAATTAATATAGAGGATTAATGTAGACACAATAGAAAAAATAAAATTAAATGGTCTACTTTTACATTTTTAATGCAAGAAAATTAAATCAATCAAATCAAATAAATTACTTTAAGCCATTTTAGAGTGAAGTTTACAGTCTCTAAATATACTAAATATACATTTATCTTAATAAAAGATTTAGTTAGAAGTACCATTAGTTCAGTATAAATGTGAGTCAGAATAATCTACTGTCATCTGTTAGACTGTCTTTAGTCTGTTTTCACTTCTGTCTTGTTTCACAGCAAAGATTTGTCAGATTTCAGTGAGTTTCATGCTGTTTCTACAGACACAAACCCATGAACTAAGAGTATTTCTGAATCTTTCTTCAGCTGGAGAAACACAGAAGATGTAGCGCTAGAAATGATATAACATGAGCCCAGCAATCTTAAACTGAACAGTAAACTTTAATCAGACTGTAGCTGCTGTACAGTATAATGATACTAACTCTAGTTTCTCCAGCTTGCATCGTGTGTTCATCAGTAGATCACTGAGGTTCTTCACTCCAGAGTCTCCTAGTGTATTCCCTCTCAGGTTCAGTTCTCTCAGGTGTGATGGGTTTGAGTTCAGAGCTGAAGTCAGGACGAGACTCTGTTCCTCTGTAATACTGCATCCATACAGACTGAAGACAGAGAGAGAAAACACAATCAATCAGATGTAAGAGAGAATATAGGGTCCTATATGACAAAAAGTTTGATTTATTGCCCCTCATAAACCCCCCTCCTCCTACCATAAATGGACACCTGTTTGGACACCTGTTTCTGTACACCCCCCACCCATCTAACCGGCCATCTGTTTATCCACCCCAATGATCCCATGGAATTTATGATTGTTTGGGAAAGTGTTTTTGTGTGGGGTCAGTTGAAACTGTTCAAAACTATGTGCTTTAAACTTTAAATTGTGAAACGTGGTATGATTATTAAACGGGATAAGGGAAGTTTTTATTAAAGTTTTCACACATACATTTCAAGAAAAACATCAAACATACGCGCTATATAAACAATGTAATGACTGTGTTTCCAGAAAAGAGTAAAAATGGGTCAAGACGAATATTTAAGTGTTGTTAATTTAAATGGAATGGCATCACTCCAGGTATGCGGTACAGAGTACTTGGGGATCACGTTAACAAGTACGCTGATGATTACATTTATATACTTTGTAGCGACCACAGCTTGGACCTACCTGAACGCGCTTGGCCGATATCTGAAGAGGATCAACTGACCATCTATCTAAAACAAACAAAAAAAAAGTATCAGATACGTTCGTTAAACAGTACGTGGCAGTTCAAAATCTTGTAACATTACAATTTAAAAGTTTGAGAGTTTGTTAGAAAATAAAATAAAAAATGTTGACATCTCACCGTGATCTAAAACAAAAAGCGTCAGATACGTTCATTAAACAATACGGCAGTTACGTTTTTAAAAAATAAAAATGCTGACTTATCTCACCGTGATCTAAAACAAAAAATATCCTTCCAGATACGATCGTTAAACAATACGTCAGTTTTTCTCTGTACAATTTTAAAAGTTAGAGCTTGTTACCAGTTAGAAAATAAAAAACGTTAAGCGACAGGTTAAGATACTTGTCAAAATCTATGTTGTATGCTACCATTAGATACAATTTAAAAACTAGTTTGAGTTTGTCGCAAGTTAAACAAAAGAAAAAAGACCCCGAGTACATCGTCACACGCTGCTGTCAAAACTCAGAATGAGCTCAGGCGCGCACCTCTCAGGCCAAACCTACAAACCCATCCCCTAACAGCGGAGGAGTGATAATCACCCAAACGGGTTGTAACGTGTGTTTAAAAAGGGGTCTGTTGAGAATAACATCCTTACCTAGACGCAAAATACAAACGGTGCTTTTGTGAATTGGAAAAACAGAAAATTATTCTGTAACAATGGCTGAGGCATCATCACCTAAAACTCCTGAGAAGAGTGTTGAGGTTGCTATGGGGGATCTTACTGTGGCACCGAGGAAGATGAAACATGGTCCGTGTCTGGCCAAATTCCTCCACGAAACTTTGGATAATGTTAAGTATGAGTTTCATTTATCCGGTAACCGTATTTGCAGTTACAACTTTGACAAGAACAACCGGGAGGTCAGACCGAGTACTGTGGACAATGATGAGAGGTTCACGTACGACACATGCGACGACCCTGAGCTGTTTTTCACCGTAAAAGATTGGTGTTTA